TATTTTTAGCGAATTTATTCCGTTCAGATATATTTCTACGAATGCTATCTTCTTTCACATTAATTTGTTTTCCTTTTCAAAATGTGCTTAATGTCAAAATGCAAATCTTGCCTATAAATATATTCACACACGAACTCGTATGTGATAGAATGATGTATGATAGGCCACCCCTGGCTTACATTACAAATTAAAGATTCTGCCAAAAAGATGGGAATGGATTAGTCATCTCCGCTGAGAAAACAGTGGCTCTCAACCCATGTATCATACCCCTACCCACCTTTCACGTAGGTGACCAGCAGCTTGGCATGTGTCATAAGTATACATATATCGGAGTGAACGTAAATAATATAGACCTGATCCTCTCTCTAAAGATGAGACTGTGGGAGAGATTGAAACCGTTGAAAGTTCTTGTCGGAAGAGAACATAGCATCAATGTTAAGCTCGCTAGACTGTTCTACTTGACTTTTATAAGGTCAGTTGCAGACTTCCATGCACTGCACTTATTGCAGTGTAATGAATCAGAAATAAAAAGCTTAGAGGTAGTGCAAAATGAAGCTATGAGGATTATCCTCGCCGCCCGGGAACAGCAAGGATAGTGAACATGTGATCAGAACTAAACTTACCATCAATTTCTGATAGAATATTTATTTCCACCATATTTGGGTCAAAGCTCGGAGGGAACCCGTGTATCTTTCAGATTTCCAAAAACAACTGCTACATATAATCACGCAAGCAGACGTGACTAATCACACACGCGCGCGCCCTCTGATACATAATATCCCCATGGACATTGCAAAGCTCATGTCCCAATTAGTAAAATACCAAATGGTCGATCCATTCCACCAAGGAAAAATTCAACATTGATCGTGCACCTTGCATGTCTACCACAAAAAACAGTGTACATAAATGTGTGTTAAAACAAATTGCGTTAGTAACGATAAAGGAACACACAGTCTATGAGCGATGATACATACGAGTGTTACACTGACGGGTCCGTACAGTCTGGATACAAACCTGGTTGTGCTTGCGCTGTATACAAAAATGGCTTACTACAAAATCAAGCTAATATGAGAGTGCAATATTGGTACACAAACGGAGTTGGCAGGTATACTTCTTGCAACGGAATTCTTAATGTCTCGGGCCTTTCAAAGCAGGTGGTGATGAGAAAATTGTGAGTTGCATTAAAAGTAACGTAACTTATGCCATAGAGCGCAATTTCAATATTCAATTTGCATGGATACCATCTCATGTTGGCATACGCAAGAAGCACGACCGCGTAGACAAAATGGCGAAGGAAGCCTGCAGCAAAGATACTGTGAACAAAGATCTTGGGATGCCTCTTGCTAAGGTTGTACATATAGTGAAAAGTCCTCATAAGGAAGAACTAGTTGATCTGACAAACACCCAAAGGCCTGAAAGCTGTACCATATGGCACTACGATCAGTACAGAGATACTGTATTATGTCAAAATATGTAAAACTGTAATCACGATTGCCCACGCCTGAGCAGATTGCCAAAGTGACAAATAAATTTATTTAACTAAGTCTCTTCAACGCGATAAAACCACTTTTCGCTCAAGGATGAAGTTCCAGGCACAATGCCACCGAGTCTACTCTATAGGAGTGCAGGCGAAATGTTGCTGCCATGTTATTAGAGGGTATGTCTCTGTTACTTGCTTCGTCTGTCATATGTTCTCATCGGAGGAGAGCATGCAACAAATCCTTGTCCTTCCGGCAAGGGCAACTGAGTGTGGCTTCAATACAGTCATACAAACCTCTGTCCACATGTTTTGTAAATAAAGTTGAACTAGATCTCAGTTGGATACATGTAACTATGAATGACTCAAAGACACAATCATTAAACATTAAACATTCCAATAAAAGGCTCTGAGAGTTGTGATGGCAAACCTTTTTACTCTTACCTTCCCTACTTATGGCCAGCCGTAGATTATCATATTATACTCTTTGAATTATTCAAAGAACCATTTACCCAGTTTAGAGGCAATATAGTATGAAGAAATGAGCCTCATTATCGGTGCCCCTTAAATGCGTGGATTATGAACTTGTCCTCTGTAATCTAAGGTTATTAATTGTGATTGTACATAGATGGTTAATGGTTAATGGTTAAAAGCAAAAATAAATGTGCTAGACATCTAAGGTCATGTAGCACTATAGTAAATGTTAGTAAAGGGTGGTTAAGTTAGTGATTAGTTAACAAAGCTGGGCAAAGGAATTGGTGAGTGAATGGGTTAAGGTCGGGTGAGGTAATGTAAAGGGGTTAGATTAAGTGAGGGATATTTATGTGTTTGAGAGGAAAACAGGTTGTCGAAGGGAGGATAGGTGGGGGGTGGGGGGGTGGGGAAGCAGAGCTACAGGCTGCTTCAAAACGTGTGCATGATAATAGAATGTGTGAGACTGAAAGAGGAACATTACATAAAGAGCATAGGGCTGGATCGGATTGCGACATCAGATAGGGGTGTGTTAGACGGGTGTGGAAAGGGATGCTCGTGATATAAGGGATTCATGTGTGTATCCAGGAGGGAGTGGAAGGGATAGAGGGGATGGTGGGAGGGTTAATGTGGGTGGGGTTGGAGTTGGGGGGGATGGGTTGTGTTGGGAGGGGGTAGGAGGATAGGGTGTAGGGGGGATATCGTTAGGAGGAGGATGGATATCGGCAGTCACTTGGTGTGTGGAGGAAGCAGGAGTTGTAGGATTTGAAGGTTGATGGGGGTCAGTTTTCATTAAGAAGTTAGATGTAGGAGGGGTGGGTTTAGGAGAAGTGTTAGAATGAGCAGTATTACTGGAGTAAGGAGTAAGAGAGAATCCACGTCGACGTGCTTCCTGTCTGGCTTCACGCAGTGTGAGTCCGAGTTTGAATCTGAGAGTTGCTACCTCAGATTCAAATTTGTAGGTGGGACAGCCCCTATAAAATACATTATGGGGGCCGCCACAGTTGGCACATGCGCGTGATTGTGCAGAGCAGTTAGATCGGGTATGGCCAGGTTGGGCACATAATGGGCATCTGGCTGTGGAACGGCAGTGTTTGGCTGGGTGTCCTAGACGCCAACAATTTTGGCACTGACGTGGAGGAGGTTGGTATGGACGAACAGGGAGGGATTTGCCTCCTATGTAGACGTTAAAGGGAAGGTCATGTCTACGGAAGGTAATTTTGGCTATGTTAGTGGGTTTCTTTCGATGACCTCTGGGGGGGATGGAATAGCATTGTACTTATGTTGCATCGTAGTCTGTGAGACAGGCAAGTAGATCTTCTCCACAATCTGACCAATCTTTGTCATAGATTCGGCAATTTGCTGGTGAGATTGAGACTGTTCCGGTGCAAGTATTGAGGGTTGGATGGGGTTCTGCTAGGATGGGGTTACCATATAGGTCAGTTAGTTTTGTTAATGCTATGGCTTGGTTTTCGGATGTTACTGTTACAAGACGGGAGCGGTCGGGTCGGCTACGGAAAGAGACTTTACCTACTTGTTTTTGGAGGCATTGTTGGAAGAGAAGGGTGTTGTCAGAGTAGGGAGCTGTGGGAGGGATCACGAAAAATCGGTCCCATTTGGCTGCACTGAAGAGAGTATTCAAGATTGTTTTAGAGATAGTGGTGGTAGAAGGGCGAGGGCGTGACGAAGATGGAGTAGTGTTGATGGAGGTAGTGTTATGGAGAGGTGGGCTATAAGGCTGTAAGGTATTAATAAGAGAGGATGGGGTGGTTGATGTTGGAGGTTGTGGGGGTAGAGGTGTTGAAGTTGGGCATGCTGGGAGAGTGGAAATGTTCCTTGAGGGTTGATTGTTGGCTACTGTACTAGTAGGCATTGGTGAAGGGGCAGTTATTGCAGTGTTCGGAGCCGTGGTCAAAGGAGAGCCTGGGGTCGGGGAATCGGGTGGGTTTACTTCTTTGGGGCTATTTGATATAGGGGCAAGCCTCATTGCCCCTAACAGTGGGGATATATTTTCATTACTGGCCATGGTAAGCCTGGTTATGTTGGGGATAAAAACAGTCCACCCCTCAGGGTCCCCTTGAGGGGTAAGGGCTAGATACTAAATCAGGGGAATACCGTGCCCATGGCTCCCTCAGGCCGTTCAGGACTGGCACAAAGTCAGCCTTTCATCCTTTCAGCACGGCTCTCACACCTTAGGAGGTGGATAGCAGAAGGGTTTGGTGAAGGGACAGAAACAAAAGTGGGAAGGGAAAAAAAGACCATGCACTAATTAGTTGAGTCGAGGGCTGAGTCCCAAGGTTGGGGAGTTCCCCATCATTGGGTCCCAGTCTCCGCCTCCTAAGCCCCCCCCACGACAACAACGGGCAAGGGATTGGGGGGGAAGGTTATTAATTGTGATTGTACATAGATGGCTCCACAAGTATCTATCTCATCAGTTTGCTCTTTCCCTTGATTTTCGATATGATTATTTTTAATTGTTGATACAGAATTATGATAGCATTATGATAATCACAGCGTCAATAATAATAATAACAGTATTGATACTAATATAATTAGAAACAAACATTTTTCTCGAAAATTCGAAGAATGGGGAAATCAGGTGAGGTCACGTCAGGGCTACTAATTGACTCTATGATGACTGACCATTTGTGGAGCTATCTGCGTGCAACAAAATTCACTAAATAGGTACTATACCACGTGCAAAGGATAAAAACGAGTAAGGCCACGTTTGAATATCAATACCTGTTTATACTCAAGTTAACTGCACTTTGCGACCAAATATATGTCCAATTTGAATGTAGCCATAAAGACCAAACTGTCAATATACGCCTTGGGAAATATTCCACTCAGTTCTCCGAAATCTTACATTTGTAATGTGGTTAGTACTTAATGAGGTATACTGTTGGAAAAAAAACGCTGTTATTTTACCAGTGATATAGTTTTTACTATATTAAATTGTCATATTGTTGGTACTTGAATAATCAAATTCTATAACGGCAAAATTCGGGCTTATTAATGGTATAGATGTTACCACATTTCAATGATTAATGGT